TCTTTTACATTTCTGCGATAATAAAGATATTAATGTTAAAGTTCGCTCACATTTTGTAGGATAATAGCAATATTAATGATGATACATACGAAAAATATAAATATATATTAAAAATTAATCAGATGAACAGGAATGTTTCGGTCCGTTAAGTCATATGCAAAAGTGTTAGTCCAGAACCAAGCATACATCCTCCAGCTACATATCGTACTGTTCGCAGTGGTCATGAGGCTTTGGCTGAGTTGCTTCGGCACTGATAATTCTGCTTCATCCCTAGTCTAAATTTCACTTGCAGCCGATGGCTCTGTGGAATGTCCAAATTTTCCGCAAATAAACTCTTCCTACTTTCATTCCTTGGACGAGTGCGCAGTGTAAGTAGTGTAAACATGGCAGTGGCAAATGTAAGCATTATCCTCAGAAAATGGAGGCAGGCGCATGTTCAGGATTGGGTTGCCCCGATGATATCATTCTTTTCCCAGTGAAAACCCCCCGCAAGGAACGCTTTGAAGTTGGTCGAAAGAGAGCACTTTTTGAACAAAATGCCAGTTATACCGTTCCAAGAGTTGCCTGCCGAGTAAGCTGAGGGCGGTTTAATTTACCGCCACTCACGACAGTGCCAACTGACCATCGAAGTGAACCATAGAAATGGCTTTTATTCTGCCAGCGGCCCTTCCAAGTACTGGACCGAGTCCATGCGAACTGGGTCCATTCCAATGGTCAGGGCAGTAATTTCGGCAGCACTTTGAGCACACGCATGTCGCGTTCCCTCGGTGGTCATTTTTGAGCAGCTGTCCATCGGACACTCTGTCAAACACAGATCCACAACACGGTACAGCAGCAGCACATTATGTTTCGCCATTGCGATCACAGACTCACCGTGCATTGTGCATTCATGCCACGATTAATTCACGCGTCACCTCCCTCCGTCCCTCACTGGAGCCACCTCCGGTGCGCCCCACGCACCAGCAATCCTTCATTCTCTTCCAGGGCTTTCTTCACAGCAGCAATTTCTGTTTCCTTCAATTCGCATGTGGCCTGTGTGATACGTCCAATGTTCGCACGCTTGTGCACCCTTGAACCTCCGAAATGCATTTGGAGCAGGGAATGCCATCATCACTGGAGCATTCTCGGTCCCATCGCCCGATAGCATGTTTTAATGAATGTTGCGCGTGGTTTAGCAATTGATGATTCGATTTCTACCTCACAGTTCCTTACTTCCTCATAGATGCGTTTTAAACTAAGTGCAGAAAACAGAATCGCTTCCAGTACTTTCCTGAAAGTGTCCTGGGCTGCAGGTGTTCCCCTCTTCTCTGAGGTAAAAAAAGTCAAGGAAAGATAAGTCCAGCTAATAAAGGAGGACGGGGGAAGGGAGGAGGGCCTTGACATTGAATCTCGTACTTTCTGACTCTCCCACAGACTTAATTCAACTTAAAACGGTGGCCGAAGTAGGCCTAAAATTGCTAACCAATTCATTTAGCTGCAGTTACGGCGGTTTTTAAGACTGCTTACGCAAGGTTAACGTTCTTGGGCCGATGGCGAGAAATTTCTCCGGGAGTTTGAATTCACAACTCTCAGCAGTTCT